TGATAGGTAATTCTATTGGATTAGAAGAATAATTAATTATTATTATTAGTGTTTGTGTATGCTGCTGCGGTGTGTGTATCCATATGTGAATACGTGTGGCCAAGAGGCAGACACTGGCTGTTTCCCTGTATTGCTGTCTTCTTTACTGTCTTGGAACAGGGTCTTCTACTGAACAGGAAGCTCACTATTTTGGCTAGGCTGGCTGGCCAGTGAACTCGTAGGCTCTACCTGCCCAGTGCTGGCATTAGAGGCGTGTGCTTCTCTGCTCTGTTTTCACAACGTGGATGCTGGAGATTGGAACTCAGGTCTTCGTCCTTGCACAGTGAGCATTCACTCCTACTGACTTCTGTGGGATTTATGCACACCAGCTCTTGGTTGTTTGGTCCTCAGGGCAGTCTTTGAAGAAAGTCCAAAAGTCACTTTGCTGGTGTCATTCTCAAGTCCACTGTATCAGCATGTACACTGTCATCCCATCATAACCGACAGAAACCCATTACCTCCCAGTGCTGGAGGATGGATGTTCAAAGTCCAATGTGGGTCCCTCCTTTTAAGGCTTTCGAGGGAAGCATCTGTCTCAGGCCATTCTTGCTGGCGTATGAAAAGCCACCTTCTCTTTGTGTCTCTGGGTTCCAATCCTACCTTTTTAATGGGACGCCAGTCACACTGGATTAGGGCCCACCCTAAGGACCTCCCTTTAATTTGTCAGCCTCTTCAAAAATCTTTTCTTTAAACAAGGTCATATTCTGGACCCCTGAACAGGAATGTTTAGCACTTCGACATATGAATTTGGAGGCAGGAAGAACATAGCCCATGCTGGGACACACCCTCTGATAGCTTGATGCCTTGAACCATGGTTTGGATGCTGACTTACACATCCATCTGGGCTGACTCATCTCTTTGTGAAGGGGACTTCTCCATCCACGTACCTTACTGATCATGTCTGTATTTCTACTACACTACTGTATCATTTCAGATGGATTCACGACCAGGAGAAAGGGACCATCCACACATGCAGACATACAGGTTGGGTTTGTGTCTAGGCTGTGGAAACTATGTCAGTGCAGGTCATAGATGGCAGGAGTAGAGACAACATCTTGCCTTGGCCTTCCCTCTCTCCTCATCCCTTACCAGTGCTGCAGACACCAGCAACCCTGTCTGGGTATCGTGGAGTTGAAAATCAGCCTGCCTCTGATGCCCTATGTGTTTTTTGTTGAGTGTTGTTGCTATGGCACCACTGTGGAGTCACGCTCATCCTCTGCCAGCCTGTGAGGGTGTGTTTACAAACACTGAGATAGCATGATGATGATGGTGGTGATGGTGATGATGGTGATGATGATGATGAAGATTAGTTACAAAATCCACCCTCAGCAGTCATATGACTTAACCCAAGGGATGGCGACAGCATCATTGCCCAGGAGCTCTTAGAACACAGTTTCCGCCTTCAGCCGTCTCTCAGAAAAACCTGTTTTCCTGAAGTCCACTCACCCCAACTCTGATTTAATAGCTTCGTGGATGGACCCAACTCTCAAGAGGAAGTTCTCAAGTCCATTATTCACGAGCATCTGGAATTAAATGTAGAGGTTTATAGTTCTACCCAGTATGGGGCAACATGAAGCCAGGAATGATTTCTTCATCTTCGTGGCACCTGTGAGTTGGTCAGGGGACCACAGGGTACCCCTGAGAGGAAGTCTGCTGGGTGATGTTGAAGTTGAATCCTTTTCAGGGATGTCAAAGAGTCCTTAGCACAAGGCAGCTGCTTGTGGTTGCTCTGCTCAGCTGTTCTGAGCTCTGCCATATCTGTCAGGGACCACATGCCTGTATTCATTTCCTAGAGATTCTCCTCTTTCCCCTGGAGATGTTCTTGTGGATTAAAGTCCTCCCTTCTGAGAACTAAAGCTTATTGGAGACAAACACAATATATACATGTGTGCTTACAGTAGAAGATAGTAGACGGTTCTTAGCTTTGTCTCGGTGACACATCACTGAAGGGATGGGCGGCAGCTGCCATTTACCTAGGCTGTCACTGTCATGTCGTCATGGGAAAGCTGCAGACCAGCTGGAGATGCTTGAGGTGACAAAAGCCACGGAGAGGACAGAGAATGTCCAAGACCACAATCAGAACCGAGTTACATGCCCCAAGTCTTACACCACCATGCTTAGCAGGACTTATTTTTTTAAAGGAGAACAACTGAGTTTTTAAAATGAAGCAGTGTACGGCAAAGACAATTTAGCCACAGGCCAGGGGCAGCAGCCAGAAACTGGGAGTCCAACGAGATGGGAGAGCAGAGATGACGCGTCTCACTCATCTTCGCTTCTCTTGGTACCAGATTTTCTGATTTATTTTTTTCAAGTCAAAACTTTGAAGCCAGATCAAGCAAGTCTGTAGCCTGCCAGCTTTGACCTTGTGTATGAAAAAAAAAATAACAAAGCAAACAACCAACCAAACAAAACCCTGTGTGAGTCCCATATAAACTGTGCATCCTCCAGGAGCCAGTACCTAGCAGTGGGTGAATATTTCATGGTACCCAGCCACAACTGTAGCTCTAAGTCATGACTTCAGTGGAGCAATGGGTCCTTTGGAAAGCTTATTTGTGGACTGACTTTACACCAGCGGCTCTCCGCCTTCCTAATGCTACCACCCTTTAATACAGTCCTGCGTGCTGTGGTGACCCTAACCACAGAATTATTTTCATTGCTACTTAATAACTGTAACTGTGCTGCTATTATGAATTATAATGCAAATGTCTGTGATTTCTGATGGTCTTAGGCGACCCCTGTGAAAGAGTCCTTTGATTCCTCCCCTCTCCCAAAGGGCTCACAACCCACAGGTTGAGAACCACTGTTTTACACAGAAATAACTCATGGTGCGTCTTGAGTAAAGGCTGGTTGGCTGGTTTGGCTCCCCTGGTAAGAATGAGAGAAAAAAAAACCAACAAAAAACCCAACCAAACAAAACAACAACAACAAAATCCCAAACCAAAACCCTCAACAGTAGGTTTTGCTCAGATTACAGTGGGATAGAAACACATCATTCTTTAATTCCTTTTTGTTTTTATATATGTGTATATCTGAGTACGAGTACCTGTGTGTGCACTGTGCATGTATATACATATGTATGTGAGTGTGAGTGTGTATACGTGTGTATATGTGTGTACATGTGTGTATGTGTAGGAGTGTATGTGTATACGTGTATCTGAGTGTGTGTGTACGTGTGTCTGAGTGTGTGTGAGTACTTGTGTCATGTGTGTGCACCTGTGATACTCACAAGAGGCCACCAGATGCCTTTGAGTCCCAGGAAGTGACAAGCTGTCCAGCATGGGTTCCAGGAACAGAACTGGGATTCTCTGGAAGAACCATGAATGCTCCCGGCAGCTAAGACATCTCTCTAGACCCATGTCTGGCTTTCTTTACTTGTGGGGTAAAACACCCCACTATACTAAAAACAGAGCAGGGCACATAAGTCAATTCTGAAAGTCTGTTCTGTTATTTATTTCTCAAATCTTAACTATTTGTTTGTTTATTTATTTATTTATTTGAGTGTATGTGCACTTGTGTGTGCAGGTGCCCTTGGAGGTGCCAGAAGAAGGTATTGGACTCTGAAGCTGGCTCTACTGGCATTGCGAGCCCCTGATGTGGGTGCTGGGATCTGAACCCTGATTTTTTTCTCATCCACGGTGCCATGAGCATTCTATAAGCACTCAGCTAACTGTCCAGCCCCTTATTCTTTAGTTCTTTACTTTCTCGATTTTAAATGCAGGTTCTAACACATCCCAGGCTGGTCCTGAACTCGATATGTAGCCTCAGGGTGACTTTGAATTTCTGATCCTCTGGCCTCTACCCTGAGTGCTGGGATTGCAGGCTAAGTTACCACACATTTGTGTGACACTGGAGACCGATGCAGAAGCCAACCCACTATCACTGAGTCACATCTCCAGGGCCAGCGCCTGCTCTGTTGGTCTGAGTTTATTCTTTAGATTCCATATCCTGCCTCTCTGAAAGCTATCTGTCTCTCCATTGCTTCTTTTGAGGCTGTCAATCGCAGGACAGCATCTGTCTAGCCAGTTAGAGAATTCCATTTCCTGGATGTAATAGCTGGTCCAGGATACTCGAGCCCAGACAATGAAGAGACCATCTTCTGTGGGTAAGGATGCTGGCAAGGTATGGGATGGCACACAGTAGGACCATGGAGTTACGGTAGCTTAAACCCTACCTACACCTATGTAAGCACAACCCAAATAATGCAGAGGCAGTTGCAAACACTGACCAGTTCTGGGTTCCTGTAAATTATATTTGAGAGTCTTGACTGACAGAAAAATCTGTGCTTCCTGTTTTTATATTAGGGAAGCATGAGTCAGATATGGTCGATGGCGGAAGCAAGCATCTGAAACGAACAATTGTTTTCCAGCCTTAATATATAAAGATATATTTATAATTCACATTTTATAGTCCATGCTTTTAACTATGTCAGCAAATAATCATGTTTCTTTCCCAATTTTTCTTCCCAAGCACTATTTAAAAGGTGTTTTTTTTTTTGCACTAATCTTATAACCAATGCCACATCCAGTACCAAAATTTTAGACATTATAGAAAGGCAAATGGTGTTGGGGGTGGGATTTCTAATATTAGAAGGAAATTGGATCAAACTAATTTTCAGGCCAACGTTGCATTCTACAGACACTCATGTTTCTGGACTAAGGCACTGAAATAACCCAGGGAGCTATTATTAACATGAACTATAGTTTAAGAAGACAAAGTGTGTTCACATATACATGCAGTCAACTCTTGTAAAGTACTCATTAAGAAAAGCATGCAGAAATATCACGTTTGTACTTTATGAAGAGTCTTGTAGGAACCTGATTCAAGGGAAGGGTGTGGTGAGGAGATTGTTTTCAGAATGTCAAAGGTGGCGTTGAGGCCATGTGAGAATGTCTTCCAGCTTAGGCCTGAGTTCAGATCCCTGCCTGTGAGCACACTCACCTTCTCCCAGAGTCCACACTCACCTCCTCACTCTCGATCTTGAGCGTGGCCAGTCGGGACTGCAGCTGTTGGTTCCGGAGCATGAGCTCCGCCTGGACAGGCTGCTGGGCGCTGACCTGACACACCTGACACAGAAGGAGACTGCAGTTATGACAGGTTACCACCCACCAGCCTCAGACGCACGAGTCTTATTTATTGGTTTTGGGTGTGAGCGTGTGTCTATGTTTGCACGTGTCTTCCTGGTTGTGTGCACGCAGGGTCTGGCAGTCAGCTCGGGGTGTCTATTGCTTTCCAGATTGTTTTGAGGTGGCCTCTCACTGAACCCAGAGCTTATGTCAGCTAGACTGACTGACTGACTGACTGGCTAGCTAGCTGGTGTGTTGGCAAGCCCCTGGGAACTGCCCGTCTTTGTCCAACCACTCAGTTCCCACCCTTAGCCATGGGGTTACAGTTGTGCCAAGGCTTTTTCCATGGGCTCTGGGGATCATTGCCCACCAAGCCCTTCTGTGTCATACTTATTTAAACACAGATATGATATACAGGAGACATGTCACTCTCTTGATCTCACTGTTCCAGTTATAACTATACTTTTTTATTAGTTTTTTGAGACAGCATCTTATGTAGCCCAGGCTGAATTTAAACTCAAACTCTTCCCATTTCTACTTCCTGAGTGGTGGGGCAGACATATGCCACCGTGTCTGGCTACGTCTTTACTTTTAACAGTCACCTTGAAACTTGACCTTTAAACAGACTTGGACAACAGCAGCAAGCATGGAATGCAGCTATGGCCTGGCGCTCTTGGGGAAGGCAGTGGCGACAGGAAGCTCTGCTCTGAGGGCAGCGGGGCCTGAGACTGAGAACTGATGCTGACACCTTACTTTCGGAATCCTGATGACCACCAGGCAGAGGGGAGGGCGGAGGAGGGTGGAGGAGGGCGGAGGAGGGCGGAGGAGGACAAAGAATGATCCGGGTGGACTGTACAGGCATAAGGAAAGGTACTGCAGCCAGGCAGTTGTGCCTCAGTCTCAGCTCGGCCTCCTACCCAAGCTATATGACTTCCTAGTCACGGGGCTGCTGCGAGCATGGCTTGAGACCATGTATAAGATACAGAGCAGTCAAAACGTGCATCTTTGAACCACGGCTCCCAGCTGGTGTATCAGCTAAATCCCACGATTTGCCACAGACTTCATGAGGCAAATTATCTCTCAGGTGTTGGAAGAAGAAATTCTGGGCAAGGTTTTAAACGATAGATTGGGTCCAAATGAAGGCATTATAAAACTGCACACGAAACAAATGCTTTCTCTTTATCTTCCTTGCCATAGAAATGCTCCTGGCTGACAAAGGTTCCTTCTCATGGGGTGTCCAGACATTAGAGTTTACAGTTCTCTAGCAGAGACTGTGACTAAGAAGGGAACCGGACACACTTCATTAACATAACAGTAACAAAGTATCAACATCTGCCTGAAGGCAAGCGGGGCAAGTGTATCACCCACAATGGAGAACAAAAACAGCAGCTACTTGATTTGGAAAGACCGCGGAGGGTAGGGTGAACGTTCAGCTTGTTGACAAGTATGTGTTATTCTGGGTATGTGTTGGCATATACCTGTAATTTTGGCACTTGGGAGGCTGCGGCAGGAGGATGGTGGGAGTTCAAGGTTAGCCTAGGCTGCATAGAGAGATACTGTCTCAAAGACAAACAAAAGTCTCATGCTGGTAAAAGAACTGCACCTATCTGAAATGCTCCAGATTTGGGAGTTTGTGGATTTGGAAATATTTACAGAGCCTTTACCAGGTGAGTGTCCCTAACCTGATAATCTTAAATTTAAAATGTTTTAAAACCAGAAACTTCTGAGTCATCTCTTTTGTATTTTGGGATTAAGGGTGCTTGATCTGGACCCATTTCTCATCAAGTAATTTACTAAATGATATAATAATAATAATGATAATAATAATAAAAGCTGATGTGAAACACAGAAGGTGGTCTGGAAAGATGGCTCAGGAGCTAAGAACACTGACTGTTCTTCTAGAGGTCCTAAGTTCAATTCCCAGCCACCACATGGTGGCTCACAACCGTCTGTAATGGGATCTGATGTCCTCTTCTGGTGAGTCTGAAGTCTCTGACATTGTATTCACATACATTTGAAAAAAAAAAGAAGCAGTAGGTATAGGCATTTATACCTATCTATAATATCAACTATTTACCTAGCCGTATACCTATATCAGTTATCTATCTATCTATCTATCTATCTATCATCAATAACATGCTCTATACATTTTTGCCTTGGTTTTCTCTCTTCATAGATAACATATGTTGCAATAACTCATGATCAGTTAAAATAGTCTCCTCTTCTTTCTTTCTTTTGTAAAAGAGGATAAAAACTTAAACTCATATGAAGAATACATGGCATGGCTGTAGAGATGGCTCAGGGATTAGGTATTCTGCTCTAGCAGAAAACTAAGCTCAGTTCCCAGCACCCTTTCCTGGTAGCTCATAACCACCTGTAACCTCAGCTCTAGGGGCCCTGATGCCTTCCTTCACCTCTGTGGGCACTGCCTTCAGGATACACACATGCATGCGTGTGCACACACACACACACACACATACACGCACACCTACATGCACACATGTACATATATATGCACACACGCACACATGTGTTCACTTGCACACACATACACATGCACACACGAACATCCACATGCACACCCACATACATGCACACACATGTACATATATGCACACACACATGCACACATGCACATCCACATGGATATACATATGCACACACACACACACAATACTAACTCTTAATAAAGGGTGTAAGGCAGCTGAGTGTGGTAGCTTATGGTAAAATCTCAGCAGCTGGAGGACAGGAGGCTCAGGAGTTCATGGCCAGCCAAGGCTACAGAGTGAGTCTGAGGCTATCCTGGCCTATAAGAGGCGCTCTCTCTCTCTCTCTCTCTCTCTCAAAAAAAAAAAAAGAATTATGTGACATAATACATGGCATATGAAGACAACCGACTAATCAGTTACTAACCTCATCACCCATGTGAGACTGGAACTCGAATTTCATCGGTGGGCAGAACGCCGCAGGGTACATCTCCATGAATCTCTGCTTGTCACTCCTTGGCTCTAAACTGTCCACAGCATTTTCAATGATGTCTAAGCCTTCGTGTCTGGAGGTTTCGAGGTTGTACTCTGCCGAGAGGTACGTTCTGAGGGCTCTGTTCAGACTTGCATGGTAGCCAAGATCACAGCACTTGAAAACATACAAGAACACAGATAGACATGTTAATTCGAAACGGGTTAAAGACCTACGCGTAGGACCCATGAGCATCAGACTCCGAAGATCACGATGCTGGATTAGGCATGGGCTTCCTGCATAGGACATCAGAGGTACCTGCGCAACCAAAGAGATGCTAAACTGGACGCCATCAAGGTTGATGACTTTCATGATTCACAAGACATTATCAAACAACTGAAAGGACAAACCAGAATGAGGAAAGGGGACTTTATATACACATGTATATAAAGAACTCTTGTAACTCAATAATTCATATTACTCGGCTAGAAGAGAGGAATCTCTGAGTAGAGACCAATGAAGATGACAGGGAAGTTGGTTGGGGCAGTATCAAAAGGTGCCAGAGATCATTGGTTGTCAGGGAAACACAGAGCAAAAAGATAACAAGCATGGGCTAGAGGTGACTCCTCAGTTACAAGCCCTTGTTGCTCTTGCAAAGCATATATGGGTTTGGTTCAGAGCACCCATATGGTGGCTCACAACCATCTCTTAAGGCCAGTTCAGGGGACCTGATGCCATCTTCTGGCCTTTGTGGGTACTGCATACATGTGGTTTTCTGATGCTCATAAGGACAAAAACATTCATCGTAAAATAAAATAAAAATAAAAAAATGAATCTTAACAAAAAAGACAATGAGAAACCATCTCACACACACTGACAGCAAGCACTAGGTGGAATGTGGGCAAACTAGAACCCTCACACACTGTTAGCGAGACCATAAAGTGGTATAGTCTCTTTGTAAACAGCTCATTGCTCAAAAGGTGAAACACGCTGTTATTCTAAGACTCTGGGCTGGGGAGGTAGTTCAGTGGGTAGCAACACTTTGTTGTATAAGCAGGAGGGACCTGAGTCCACATCCCACCACATGTGAAAACCAGAATGTGACCACGCATGGCTGCAACCTTCACACAGTGAGGGTGTGGAGACGGGATGTGTGTTAGGGACAGCTAGCTCTGGGTTCAGTGGAGCCTCTGGCTCAAAAGAATTGGGTGGAGAGTGATAGGTGATGTTACAGTTGTGTCTACATGCATATAGAATACACACATACACATGCACACACATGCACATGCATGTGGACGTACATGCACACACATGCTCACGGGCTCAGAAAAAAAAAATTTCCTAGGTATTTATGTAGGGAGAATGAAAATAACTTGCCCCTGGATAGTTACAGCCACTCTATCCATAGCAACAGTGTGAAAGAAATGTCTACCAGTCAATGAATACAGAAGCAGACTGTCACACAACCATACATTAGAACAGTATTTGTCCACAGAAAGGAATGAAACATGAATCCATGTTGCAACATGCATGAACTATGTTGAAGAAGTCAGTCACAAATTAGTCTATGCATTGTACGAATCCATTTATCTGAATTAAAGATCAGACACACCCAGAGACAGAAGATGCATCGGTGGTTGTCTCGTGCTGGGGGTGGGGGTGGAAGAATTGGTGGGGTACTTTCTGAGGGGTGTAGGATTTCTTTTAGGGATGATAAAAATGTTCTAAAATTGGCAGTGGTGATGGGCACATGGTTCTCTGGAAGGACTAAATGCCAACTGTAGACTTTCAGCGCGTGAGCCGAGTGGTATGTGAATTATACATAATAAAGGTATCAAAAATGTAACAGCAGAATACAACGGACGAAGGAGACAATGAGGAACGGCATCCAGGTTTCATTCACTCAATGCTGTGACTGATATGGCAATTTATTCAAACCCTTCTAGGAGACAAATATGCTAAGTTAGACTCCAGATTTGCATATCTTATTGACGGCTCAAGACTAATTCGGATTTGTAGAAGGGAACAGGCTTGAGTCTGTCAAAATATTCAGAAATGGCTTCCCTTTAGCTCCCAGCATAAAATTCTTAAATAGGAAATGGTTGCTGAAGTCCTCTTACTATAGACAGAATTTGTTTCATACTCTCAGGAATCAAAGAGCTTTGACGGAGCTGAAGAGATGGTTCAGAAGTTCGGAGCATTGGGGTTCAAGGCCCAGCTTCTACCTGGGTGGTTCACAAGCGTCTGAAAGACCAGCTGCAGGGGAATTCCACGCCTCTGGCCTCCGTGGGCTCTTGCAATCACACGCATATTCCTCCACACAGACACAGAAACATAATTAAAAATAAAAGTAAGTTTTAAGGAAAGAGCTTTGATGTTTTCCCCCACCCTGAGTCTTTATTGCTTTTATTCATGCATCCTAAGTGAATATGATCTAAAAGAAGTGTGTAAGTCTGGAAATGAGGCAGCAATTACTGACAGCAGAATTTTAGATTTCGACATATGGAAAAAAGAAGAAGAAGAAGACGTCGAAATCCCTTAAAGAGGAAACACATAGTTTTAAATAGACAAAACCAGGTCATCTCCATACTGCTCTAATGAAGTCAGTCAATTCACCTTGATTCAATTCGAATCATGAACCGGCCAGGTGCCAGGGACTGCACTAGGCTCCAGGCACATTAAGGCTGGGTCACAGCAAAACACTTCCACCCGACAGGAAATGGAACTGAAGCTGTTCATTAGTTTGCTACGAAGATGGTAGGAGCCGGGGTACAGGGGAAGCAGCCTTGGCACAAAGAGCGGGTCCTCCAGGCCAGGAAGCCTCAACCAGCCTTTGTGAAGGGACAATTGAATCCCAAGCACTTAGAAACACCAAATGCTAATCTGGAGGCTCGGTGGCAGGTGCACACGTAGTGTGAAGAAGGCCCTAGGTGTGTTTTCCCCAGGACTGCAGTGAACACATTGTCCTTTCCAGCTTCAACGTCCAAATGATTAAAATGGGGACTTCAAAGCAAAGCTACTTCGGAATCTTGTCGCTCAGAATGTGATCAGGAAAAAAAAAATGTGATCAGCAGGAAGAGCTTCACTAGGGGCTTGGGATATGACTCAGCAGGTGTTGGGGCTTGCTGCCAAGCCTGGTGATCTGAGCTCGAGTCCCAGGACCCCCACATGGGGGAATGACACAACTGACTTCTACAGGCTATTCTCTGATCTCCACACACTTGCTATGGCCTGTGCTCCACACATATACACAATCACCCATTTAAAAAAACAAACAAACTGTGTTTAAAAATACAGAATATCTAGCCCCAACGCTGGCCCATTAATCTGGAATCTGCAGTCTAAGAAGGACACATAGTTGAATTTGATTGAACACTGGAGACACTTCCCGAGAACACTCCAGTGTCAGGGTCTTGTGACCCTGCCTTTTGGGGGTGCTGTTTCCCCAAGCTGACAGGAGGGTTTGATTAAATATGATTTGATTTATAAAAATTGGCAAACAGCTCTGATGTCATAATCACAAGCAATACAATTGTGAAATGCAGCAACTGGCTCGCTACCATCCATCTCCGGTGAAATCAGCTGCACCCAAATACAGAGAGAATGACTCATTTTGGTTAATTTGGAAATTCTAGGCTCAAATGAACAAAGACTTCTTTTATTCCTCTCGCCTCTCCCAATCTATAATGGTTCCCTGCAGTTTTGTATACATCAGAGAGATTGGGGGAAAAAATCATTCTATCTTTCAATAGCATCTTAAATTTTATAAAGACTCGAGTTTGTAAAGGACATGGGCCTCATTTCTTTAATATGTACAAGTGCTTAAAATCAGCCCGCTATTGAGAATGGAGACAGCATCTTCCACCTGATTAGAGAAAAGCCAGGAGACCTGCTGCTTCGTTGTGTAAGTATTGATTCACGTGGGAGTTAATAAAGAGGCTGAAACAGAAAGAGGAGACCAAGGAAGGCCTTTTACTCCTGACACAGTCTTAGAGTTCAAAAGAGAAAGGGTGACTGGAGGAAAAGGGGAGGGAGGGAGGGAGGGATGAAGGGAGGGACGGACAGAGAGATGAGGAGAGGGGAGCAAGGATGGATCAAAGATAGGAAGGAAGAAGGAAGAGAGGGAGGAAAGGAAGGAAGGAAGATAAAATGGAGGGAGGGCAGAAAGAATTATGACCCCAACTACCAAACTGACTTGATGTTTTGAAAAACAGCTACGAAGTTTCCATCATCCTCAACACCTCATTCTACCAAAGGACAAAAGCCCTGGTGGGTTTCTATTCTCAGTACAGCCAAGTGGATCCTGTTGGTGTGAGACCTGGTTTCACAGTGACTTCCCAATGGGACAGTGGAACAGGCATCTGGCTTAGTAATGCTAGTTGCCTAGCAGGTACTTCTGGACTTGCCCTCCTATGTGCGCGCACACACATACTTCTGTGCTGGCTTCTGACAGGCATTCTTCATCTTGGGCCCCTATGGTGCTCATCAGTTCATAAAGCCACTTAGTTGGTGTGAGTTTATTACTTCTGTTATGTAACATTTCCAAATTCTAGGTTTCTCAAGCATCCTGAACTTAAAAGACATAATAAAATGGGGGTGGGGGGTGGCATGTGCATGCACACACTCTCGTGGACACGTGAGAAGGTTGGTCAAGGTCCGCTGAGGGCAAGCCTAGCCACAGACGAGTCTCCTTTTCAAACCCAGAAGCTGAAATGACATTGGATATGTTAGGATTCGAGGTATTTGGTTAGAAAGGTCTCAAGTAATTCTATGGAGCTTATGAATTATTAATACGACACGAAAGGCCAGCTTCTGCACAGAGAGCTGAGTTATAGCCTAAGCACATTTAATGATGAAAACACATAGGAAACCACGAAACTACTCCATTCAAACAAAGCTCTGTTCTTCTGGCAGACGAAGACCTCTAGATGAATGCACATCATGGACCAAAAAAGTGGGGGAGGAAGGGGCTGTTGGAATCAAAAGCATGCATTAAAAAACAATCTTCAGATATTTAAAAATCCCAAGCACTGCCCATGGTACAGCATACTAGGTGTTAGTCTAAGCACAGCGGGCTAACTTCAGCCCAAAGGGTTGCAAACAGTATCCGAGTGCAGATGAGATTAGGCAGCAAAGACAATGGCAAACGCAATCACTTGGTTTTGGTGGCATACGTT